TGTACCAAATAGATGTGAAGAGTGTATTTTTTAATTGGTACATTAATGAGCTTGTGTATGTTGAGCAATCTCTCGGTTTTGAAGATGAAAAGAAACCAAACCATGTTTATAAGTTGAGAAAGGCTTTGTATGGATTGAAACAAGCACCAAGAGCATGGTATGAGAGATTGAGGGATTTCCTACTCTCTAAGGGAATCAAGATGGGAAAAGTTGACACCACTCTCTTCACCAAGAAGCTTGGAAATGACTTGTTTGTAATACAAATCTATGTTGATGATATTATTTTTGGGTCAACAAATCAAGATTTTTGTGAGGAGTTTGGCAAGATAATGGCTAGTGAGTTTGAAATATCCATGATTGGAGAGCTTAGCTACTTCCTTAGTCTTCAAATCAAGAAAATGAAGAATGACACATTTGTGAGTCAAGGCAAGTATATCAAGGACATGCTCAAGAAGTTTGGAATGGATGATGCTAAATCTATTAGTACACCAATGGGGACAAGTGGAAGCTTGGATAGTGATGCTAGTGGCAACATGGTGGATCAAAAGATGTATCGGTCTATGATTGGAAGCCTACTCTATGTGACCGCATCAAGGCCGGATGTGATGTTTAGTGTATGCATGTGTGCTAGATTTCAAGCTTCACCAAGAGAAAGTCATTTGAAGGCAACAAAGAGAATATTGAGGTACTTGAAGCATACACAAAATGTTGGATTGTGTTATCCCAAAGGAGCAAGATTTGAGTTGACTGGATATTCGGACTCCGATTATGCGGGATGCAAAGTTGAGAGAAAGAGCACTTCGGGCACATGTCAACTATTGGGAAGATCACTTGTGTCTTGGTCATCAAAAAAGCAAAATAGTGTGGCACTTTCAACCGCCAAAGCGGAGTACATTTCGGCCGGTAGTTGTTGTGCTCAATTACTTTGGATGAATGCTACTTTGAGTGACTTTGGGATCAAATTCAAGCAAGTGCCATTGCTATGTGACAATGAGAGTGCCGTAAAGCTTACCAACAACCCGGTTCAACATTCAAGAACAAAGCACATAGATGTCCGCCATCATTTCATAAGAGATCAACAACAAAAATGAGACATTTGCATTGAGAGTGTGGACACCGAAGATCAACTTACCAATATCTTCACCAAGCTACTTGATGAGAAGAGGTTTTGCAAGCTAAGCAATGGATTGAACATACTTGACTTCTCCAATATGTGTTGATACACCCCCAATTATATGACATGCCTCTCCTTCGAGCAATCCAAGGTAAAAGTTGATTGGCATGGCATACATCCTTGCTAAAGACATGATTAGTGCATCTAGACATATTTCACATTTGAATAGGCTCATTTATGAAAATCAAATGAATTTGATGCTTGTATGGTACCACTATTGCTTGTATGTTTGAAATGATCTAGTGGTAGCATATGACATGTTTGTGGGCTTGTAAACCTAGTGTTTGATCTATAAAATGAGCTATAAGTGTTTAACTCAACATGGTACAAGATAACCCTTATTTGGAGGTGTGAAGAAGCTTGTTCTTGGATCAAACCGAGTTAAATAACTTTTGCAAGTAATCTAGATTGAACCAATTTGGGAAAATGGTCCTCACTTCACATGGTTTTACCCCAACCTATCTAAAATTTGAGCCCTCCTTTTGTGCTAATTGTTGACAAAGGGGGAGAGAAATTCACAAAGATAGTAAGATAGGCGGAGCAAACAAATGACATGACATTGTAAGGGGATCAATCAAAATTGCACACAAGTAGGGGGAGCAAGCTTATAAACTTGTATGTTGCATTTGAATGTGCATTTCATATATTTGCTTGCATGGTACAAGTTCTTAATTTCAATATCCATGCTTGTGTGGTGTATGCTAGTTGTAGGTTTGAATATTGAAATGAAAAACTAGCATGCATAGGCTAAAGTAACTAGACTTATGTTCATTCTATGGAAACTAGACCCTTGCTTGTAATATTGATCTCATGGGGTATTTTAGTTTTTGTGTATGTCTAGTTGCTGATGGTGCTGAGGATGGTATATTGGTGCACTCCGATTGGTATCACGCTTCAAAGGTCCATCCCTTATACCTTAGCATCATTTGGTAGAAATTGTCTCATATATTTCCTATCTAAGCATATGTGCAAGCTACAATCCAAACTCTTAGCACATATGTAGGGGGAGCAATAGCTACCATTTGAAGTTCATGAAACTTGTCCATATTCTTTTACACATGGTAAAAATGCTTGGGCAAGCAGCATGGATTCAATTAAATTTCAATTCATATCTTTGTGTAAGGGTTGTCATCAATTACCAAAAAGGGGGAGATTGAAAGCTCTAGTTTGGTTTTGGTTAATTAATGAAACCCTAAGTGCTAACCTAGTTTATCAAAGTGGTTATGAGATAGGTAGCACTACTCCAAGTAATGAAGCAATGGTGACGATCATGGTGATGGTGATGGCATGGTGATGATCAAATGCTTGAACTTGGAAAAGAAGAAAGAGAAAAACAAAAGGCTCAAGGCAAATGTATAAATAGTAGGAGCCATTTTGTTTTAGTGATCAAGACACTTAGTGAGTGTGATCATATTTAGAATCGATAGCCGTACTATTAAGAGGGGTGAAACTCGTATCGAAATGCAGTTATCAAAGTGCCACTAGATGCTCTAACTCATTGCATATGCATTTAGGATCTAGCGGAGTGCTAATACCCTTGAAAACATTTGTGAAAATATGCTAACACATGTGCACAAGGTGATACACTTGGTGGTTGGCACATTTGAGCAAGGGTTAGAAACTTCACCGGTGGAGTGTCCGCCCGTAGAGTACGGACAATCCGACGGTGCCACCGACGCTCTTTACAGAAAAGACGAAGGTCACTGTAAGTGACCGGACGCTGGTCTCGGTTGGACCGGTGCGTCTGGTCAGTGGCAGCAGTGAGCGCACGGTCTCGATCTTCGATCGGATGCTGGCGCTAAAAGTGACCGGACGCTGGCGGGGTGCGTCCAGTCAATGCTGACATATGCTGACATGGGGCACGCAAAAGAGACGTTGAGTGATCGGACGCTGGGTGCGTCCGGTCGAGCATGACCGGACGCGTCCGGTCGTGAAAATTCACGTTTGGAACCTTACTGGAAATGACCGGACGCTGAGGTCCAGCGTTCGGTCACTTTCTAACTGACGCGTCTCGGTCATCACTTGACCGTTGAGATCAAGCGATCAGCGTTTGAAGCAGAGGACACATGGTGAAGATCTGAGGACCGAACGCTGGGGTCCTGCGTCCGGTCAATACGACCGACGTGTCCGATCACCCCGCGTTGTGCCCAGTGAAGGGGTACAACGGCTCTATTTCGTGGGGGATTCTATTTAAGTCTCATGGTCGGCTCAAGCTCACTCTCTTGGCCATTTGCATTGACATAGCAACCTTGTGAGCTTAGCCAAAGTCCTCCCACTCATCTCCATCATTGATTCATCATCTTTGTGAGATTGGAAGAGAATCCAAATGCATTGCTTGAGTGATTGCATCTAGAGGCACTTGGTATTCGTGTTTCGCTGTGGGATTCGCTTGTTGCTCTTGGTGGTTGCCACCACCTAGACGGCTTGGTGCAGCGGTGGAGGATTGGCACAAGATGGTGATTGTTCGTGGCCATCTCCGGTGATTGTGAGGGGATTTGTACCTTCCCCGGCGGAGCGCCGAAAGGTAACTCTAGTGGATTGCTCGTGTCATTGAGTTACCTCACTTGCGGGTAGGTTCTTGTGGTGTCCAATCGTGTGGACGAGGTTTGTGCAACACCTCTTAGCCGCTGAACCACCAAGTGTTGGTCGACACAACGGGGACGTAGCGTGTTGGCAAGCATGTGAACCTTGGGAGAAAATCGGTTGTCTCTTTCCATTTGGTATTCTCTTGGTGATTGGTTTAATATTCATCTTGTGATTGGTTCACTTCTCTACACGGCGGTATAATCATCCTACTCACTCATTTATATTCTTGCAAACTAGTTGTGGTAAGCTCTTTAGTGTAAGTAGAATTGAGAGCTTGCTTTGCTAATTAAGTTCATCTAGTGGATCTCTTTAGAGTAGCAAGGTTGAGAGCTCTTAGTGAGTAGTATCATAGCAAGTTGTGTGATTAGCAATCATTGCAACTAGAATTGTTGGATAGGTGGCTTGCAACCCTTGTAGAGCTAGAGTAAGTTTGCATTTCGTTATTTGTCATACTAATCAATTTGCTCTAGTTGATTTGTAGATTTTTAAATAGGCTATTCACCCCCCCTCTAGCCGTATTAGGACTTTTCAGCGGGGTATCGCATGGCCGGAGGGGAGGAGTCTTGCTTGATCTTTGCCAATTGTTTCCTTCCATGCATGAGTATTGTTTCCTTCCATGCATGTGGCCTCAGGTGATCGATTTGTTTCCTTCAAAGCAGGCGGGGATCACAGATATGGCAGTTTCTTTTTCTATCGAGCGGGGTATCGCATGGCCGAAAGGGAGGAGCGACCCCAAAAAAAGTACGAATGGTGGGAATATTTGTTTAGGAAATTGCAGAAGGTTCACCAGTCTCACCATGTATAACCTGCACATCTTTTATCTAGCACCACTGATGTTCTCAAGGAGCAGCCACTTTTTAATTTTAGGTCTGCATGCTGGAAACACTAAAATTAAGGGCCAACCTCATTGAGTCATCTTGCTTGATCTTTGCCAATTGTTTCCTTTCATGCATGATTATTGTTTCCTTCATGCATGTGGCCTCAGGTGATCGATTTGTTTCCTTCAAAGCAGGCGGGGATCGTAGGGATGGCAGTTTCTTTTTCTATCGCACGGGGTATTGCACGGCCGAAAGGGAGGAGCGACCCCAAAAAAAGTCGCACAAAAAATAGTCTTACTTTTAGTCTTTTTAGTTGTAGGAGATCAGTACACATACACGGTAGCCACATTATCATGGAGAACTACTACGAAAGCATCGACTACTATCAGAAGCCTTGTCATGCTCCCAACAAGCCAACGACCATGGACGAACCCAACAAGGACGATGGCAAGGGCAAGGGAAAGGTCGTTGCCGTTGCCATTGCCGACCACCATGCCGCCACCGCTGACCAGGAACAACCGGAAAGCCAGGAGGAGTTCTTACACGACTCCGAGTCATCGGGCTCCGAGTCCATCGAGATCGCCGACCTCAAGAAGCGCATGTGGAAGGACCGGCTGCTTCTCATGAATCTCGAGGGCCGCTCGGCCGGCCGCGACCGCGCCGTTCACGAAGGCGAGGCCCAGCTCTAGCTCCAGCCCGGCACTGACGACCACTCGGCCTCTACTGCTGCCTTGGTCCAGCAGGCCAACAAGGATCAGTAGGAGTCGCCCGAGAGCTGGTACCACCGCAAGGCGATGCTCCGGGCATAGGACGGCGTCATCCGCCACATGCTCAAGATGATGGAGGCGTGCAACGCGTGCGGGTTCGTGTACGGCGTCGTGGACGAGTCCGGCGTGCCCGTGTCCGGCTCCTCCGGCGACCTCATGGTGGTGGAAGGGACGAGGTGGGCTTCGACCGGGTAGGCTGATGGTCTTGTCCGTCGCGGCTGCGCCGCGCGGCGGCGGCTGAAGGCGGAGGGCCCCGGTGCCCGATGGCGCGCGTTGTTCGCACGGCTCGCACGACATTCAGGACAACATGTTGGGGTCCCCTGTTGTCGGCGCTCATCCAAAGATCGCGAGCCCCGTAGAGCGGAGCTTCCGCTAGACCGCGACTGGCGCCATTGTGGTAGCCGACGGGCGGGAGGCTGGTGGGGCATATCTGGGCGGCAGGCGCAGCGCACCAGGCCCGCCGCCGCATGCAAAGCCGCACGACCTGAAGAAGGCCTAGAAGATCTCGCTGCTGAGCGCGGTGATCAAGCACCTGGCCCCGCGCTTCGACCAGATGGGCAAGCTCGTGTGGCAGTCCAAGCGGCTGCATGTAACGACCCCGGCCGCCTCATCTATGTAGCAACCCGTTTGCACTTTCGTCCTCGCTTCGCGCAAAAAGGTTAACCGAAGATTACCACGCGTCCTTGCCCTGGCTATCTAAGCTGGTTCGGCGAACTCAGAACTCACGATACGGTACTAAGCCCTAACTTGGCCCAATGGGCTGGGTCTCACATCCACCCACCCTCGAAGGATTCGACGTCCTCGTCAAACTATCGAACCAGCTTACCCATACGAGACAAATGCTCAGAATCGACTCTCTTGGCCCACGTTCATATTCCCAGCTCCCCGGGGCAAGTGCCATGCTCTTGCAAAGCCATGCGCAACATGTCCGAGCTCCCGAGCCATATGTTCGTGAAACCGTGAAAGTTGGCTCTAAATACCATTTATAACGACCCAGACCCGGCACACGGCACAGGCCCACTCTACCAAGGGATAGGCCCTACCTACGTAGCAACCCGTTTACGCTTTCGTCCTCGCTTCGCGCAAAACGATTAACCGAAGATTACTACGCGCCCTTGGGCTGACTATTTAAGCTGGTTCGGCGAACTCAGAACCCACTATACTAAACTCCGTAGCTACAGCACCTAGGTGCTACAGTACCTAGTCGCCATATAGTTGCTGGTGTCAAGCCTCTCCTGTAGCAGAGTGGCGGTTAGTGGTCTGTTTAACCGGTGATGACACAGTTTCGTGATTCCTTTGAGAGAAAACAGCCTCATCAGTCATCAGGCCTTCTTGGGCTCTTGGCCCATGGATATTTCTAACTTGCAAAGAAGCTGTATGCCAACAGGTACATAGCATAGTCTTATGGCAATAATAATATCAACAAAGCCCCTAGTCATGCACATGCAGTATCGTTGGTTCACAACTGTCACAACCATGATATGATACAGCAACATGAGAGCTTTTTCACTTGAAAAAAAAAAGAGCTGTCCGTATAACGTGTATGATTTTTTGTGGTTACCAATATAGGAGTACGTAGTAACAGGCTGTAAGTACAATGAACAGAACTGGGCCTGACCAGCTCTCTCTTTGGTCCATACAACCATGTGTTCTTCGAGGGACTAACATTTCATGACAAGCCTATAGAAGTAATCTCTAAACCATAGTGGTGCATAATACAAAATGGACAGAATAGCTGAGAACTGGCCGTAAGCGAACCAAGCTGGAGGATTCTTCTTTAGAACCGATGCAACCACCTTCTTTGCAAGCTCTTCTGCTGGAGTAGACCTGGGGCCCTGGGAAATGTCGGTCCTGGCTCGGAGCCCTTCCTCGTATTTCTTGTAGTACTTCCACTCATGCATCTGATCATACTTGGCTGCAGAGGAATTCCCAAGATTTGAGTTTGTCCCTCCAGGGGCGACAGTCATGACATTTATGCCGAAGCTTTTTAGTTCAACCCTACAGTGAAGTGAGCATGTATCAAGTGAGGATGGCAAATATGAAAGAAATAAATAAAGAAAAAGAAGCCACAAATCTTAAGGTAACAAATTGAAAAGACTTAACAGCACAAGAACGGGACATGTTGTAGTAAAAAACAAAATTTGGATACTGACATATGTTGCATGTGTTGTTGACTTGTTGAGTATGTTGCCTCATGATCAAATTATCTGATGTGATACTTGAGAACAGTGATAAATCAATTGCATGAAGAAGTAAACACTAAAGAATATGCGATGCTACTAGCTGTTCTGTATTTCACAACAGTTAAATCCAAAGTTTTTTCATTTAAAGCAGGGTGTTTAGAAACAACATCCTAATTCTTCAAAAACAGGGTATCTAGAAGTAATAATATCCTAATTCATTTAAAACAGGATATTTAGAAGCGATGTCCTAATTCTTAAGCCTATAACCTATATAAAACTTACCTATTGCCCCTAAAGCTAGCTACACATTCACACTTGGAAACTTTTCTGATGTCTTCCAATCTAAGTTATAGAATTTAAGAAAGTACCAAAATGTCGACATAAGAATAGGTAATAGTTCAATTCACAAACCTTAGTGAGTCACTCAATGCATGAAGAGCAGCTTTGGATGCTGAATACACACCAGCCCATGGTCCAGGTGCCAAAGCGGTAATACTTCCAACATTCACAATTGTACCTTTCCTTCTCTCCATCATGTGAGGAATAACAGCTTGAATCAACCTCATTGCACCTATATATATAGTGAAAAGGGGTTAAGTTATCTTGACATCAAGCCAATACTGTAACAGAACTTGTGAGAGTCAGACAATTCCCTTTTCAATACTAACACAAATGCATACAACGCTTCCACTCCCAAGCCCTCTCTGCAACAAACTGAAACCCCCCTTCCACACATCAATTCCCCGTAATCCATAAAACCAGAATCGTACAGAAATCCAGGCCAATAGAAGTCAGCATCCCCCGTCGCAACACAAAGATCCTAATCCAAAGTGAAACTGGAGCCAGAGTCATAGCAGTCTCTAACAGTGCATACAACCTTGCAGTCTGCATACAAGCTCTTCTCCAGAGTCTACATAGTCTGAAGGTTAGTATACCGATTCTTGCTAATGATGGATACAAGGAACCGCCTGATCTGGTTCAGGAAAGATTTTCAGAATCTAGCTCCATTGTTGGAATTAGTGAAGGTCATGAAGAGAAAGCGAATTTCATGTCTCAGATGCCTCTTGAGAAGGTGGTGGTACAGGCATTTACAGGTAATAATCTAAACTTAAAGAGGGAGTTACAGGGTTCTCAGGTAATAATCTATATGAGGGATCAGGAAAGAGTGAAAGTTACAGAGAAATCTATATTCGCTGGGAAGTGTTGTTTATCCTCCTGGTTCTGACAGAGCTTGTGCATGGGGAGAAACCTATTACTAAACTATTTGTGGAATGGAAAGTGTACAGGTATGTAGATATACTATGGATGTGGAACAGTGGATGAACTGAAAAACTTGCTGTTTACCGGGGAGACATTTTGGAGCCAAGTCTCCGAAAGATTGAGCAGCAGAATACTATGATGGCGAGGGACAATCTAAGCTTTTCTGGAAAGCATGGTATGTTGGAATTCAACATTGATGAGAAGGGATTGTCAATTCAAGAGTATCTGTGAATGTGTCTAAGCGTAGCAGGAACTCGGTGCCCCCTAGACAGTTCAAGAGCTTGTCGCTCGGAACTGCTGAAACTGCCAAGGGGTAGGGCCGTAGGGCTCCCTCAGTCAGTTCAAGAGCTTGTCGCTCTGTGCGAAGCACAAAAAAAACTGAGTTAGGTGTTCTTATAAGAAACACGCACGAAAGGTGACCGAGTAGCAAATTTGAGGTGGAGATTGGGTATTAAACATTGTATTACTGTTGAAAGTGTTGGTATAGGTTGTGGCCAGGCCCTGTTTTGGCATGAATCTGTCTGTCTGTGGAGGTGTTTCTGATTGAAAAACACATACGTTTTATTGCCGTACATGTCCATGAGAATTCTACATCCCCTTGGTTCAGAATCACCTTTGTATATGGAGAGCCCAGGACGGAGGCACAACACGTGGATTTAGTACAGCGCCTCAGGAATGCATCTTTGGTCCCTTGGCTTTTGATCAGTGATTTCAATGAAGTTATGTGGGGCTACGAGCATTTCCTGGTTTGTGACCGTCCAGAGAGTCGGATGGCGGCCTTTCGCCCTTACTGATTTGGGGTTTGTGGGAGTGGGACTCCTTACATAAGATAACAGTCGAGATTGGTACGCAAATGTCAAGATGGGGTTGGATAGAGCAATGACTGACACAGGTTGGAGGGACATGTTTGGGGATATTACCCTTCACCATATGGTCTCCTCGTGATCAGATCATTGTCCTCTTTCTGTTCGAAACCAGGAAAGAGAGTTGGAAAAGCATAAACCATGAATTTTCAGATATGAGATTATGTGGGAGCGCCTAGAGTAGCTATTGAGATAAACACCCTGTTCGCTTGTTGGTTTCAGCCAGGCTTATTCAACCAACCAACCGTATTTTCCTCTCACAAAAAACCAGCACCAACCAGCCCAAACCAGCACTAGCACCAACCAACGAACAAGGTGAAAAAATGCGTGAGACAATTTTCATTACTCCATTTACCTTCCTATCAAGCATCTTCATATCAAACCTGCACTTGTTACTGTGATCATGCATTTTTAGCACAAGGTATTGCCAATGATGACTGAAGGGTCCCTTCTCACAGTCATAGGAATCTGACTACATTACACGTTGCTGTATATGATTTACCATTGAATCATGCACAACTAAACACACTCAAGGATAACTTTCTAAACCAACTATCTTGCTATTTGCTAACAAGCACCCAGTTAATATAGCACTCTGCCCAGTTCCCCGAGTTAGGAAATAAAATTCACTATTTGCAGAAATTCAAATCATTCATACAAGCAACGTCCGCGAAGCTAATTCCTAATTCTCTACCTTTTCTCTCTATCAAACCACAATGCCCTTAGGTAGATCTAATAAAAAAAACCTTTCAACTCCTTCACTAACCTCTAATTGCCTAATTCAGATTCCAGGATCCAGAATCTTGTCTTTATTGGAGAACATCACAATCAGTCAATCACGGCATACCAGCAAACAATGAAGAGACAGCAAGCAGCAACATTATTTAATCCTACCATAGACATTGGTGTCGAAAACCTGGTGGAAGGACTCCATGGGCACCTCGGCGAGTGGCGCGACGAGGTGGATCCCGGCGTTGTTGACGAGCACGTCGACGCGGCCGTGCTCCCGCAGCGCGTCCGCCACGGCGGCGCGCGCGCTCTCGTCGGACCGCACGTCGAGCTCCAGCAGCAGGAACCGCGGGTCGCCGTCGAGGTCGCGCATGGAACCGCGTGACCGCGCCGTGGCCACGACAGCGCACCCGGCCGCCGCGAAGGCGCGCGCCATCGCGTGGCCGATGCCGCCCTCCGAGCACCCAGTCACAAGCACCACTGGCTGATTCCGATCACGGTCCTCGCGGCGGGACGCTGCCACTGCCATCGCTGCGAGGTTGGGAATTGGGATTCTTGGTCCGGGGGGCGGACGGGATCCGGTGTCTGTGTCTCGCTGTATCTGCCTCTCTGGGGTCAGTGCAGGACGGCCCGTGTAATAAGCGCCGTTCGCCGAGCTGCCGTAGCCGCCACCAGACGCCAAATTACCGTGGATTTATCAGCCGGCAGAAGTAGACTCATTGCTTGATTGGCAGAGCGGAGTCCTCGTTGGATTATTACTTGTTGACGATGACACGGAACGAATTGGGAAGCGACGGGAGAGCCGACAGAGTTAATTCTAAAGCTCTATAAATTACAACAACAGCAGCAAACAACATCATAGTCTTTCAGTTCCAAACAAATTGGTGTAGGCTACTAGAAAAAATAAAATTAAAATGACCTATACACGTGGATAAGGCCCTATTTGGTTGAGCTATGGATTTTAGAAAAGTAGCTGTGAGCTGTGGCTTTTCGAAAAGTTGTTGTGAATTGAGGGCTGTGGCTTTTGGAAAAGTCCATTTGGTTGAATAGCTGTGGCTTTTAGAAAACTTCTCACACTGACAGGCGCGCCCCACATGTCATACACACATTGCTTCTTCATCCTCTAGCCACCATGGGGATGGCCGTGCTCGCCGGAGCTGGCCGCACCCACCACGGGGACGTACGAATCCGCTCATGCCTACGCCGGGGAGGGCCGGATCCACTCGCGCCTACACCGGGAGGGGCGGAGCTTGTCCGCGCCGCGTTGGGGAGGGCCGTGGAGGGGCGAAGCCTCCTGTGCCGCGACGAGGAGGGCCGGAGCCACCTGCGCCACGCGGGGAGGGTCGGGAGGGGCGGAGGGAAGGGCCGAGGGAGGGAGGTGCCGGCCGCCGATGAGGAGCCGAGGAAGGCGCATGGTCGTCGGGCTCCAGCCATGCCGCGCCCGGGGCAGCTGGGGTGAGCTCTGCACGCCAGGCCTGTGGCTTGGTGTGGTGGTGGTGGCGCTTCGCTCTGGTTGTCGAGGGAGGGAGGTGCGGCCGCCGGGAGGAGCCGAGGGAGGGCCGCCGGTGTTGGATTGCCGGCATTGGGGGGCGCCAGGCCGAGGCGGCAGCGGTGAGCTCCGCATGCCCGTCTGGCCGCCGGAGGCAAGGTGGCGCTTCGCTCTGGTCGTGGGAACGAGCTGCTCTGTGGCGGCCAAGGTAGGTAGCGGCGGGCGCGGAGGAATCATGATGGTGCGGAGCGGGAGGAAGTCACAAGGGGAAAAGAACGAACCGTTTTCTTCATAATGGATGGCATTGCGGGTAATTTTGATAAAAATGAAGAAGCTACAGCCGGTGAAAGCAGCCTCCCCCTGCTGTGAAAATTGAACTGGGCAAAAGCTAGCTTTTGGAGAAGCTGTTGGTCTATCCAAACCCCTTTGGTTAGCTTTTTGACTTCTGGAGAAGCTACAGCCGGTTGAAAGCTGAACCAAACACCCCCTAAATTACCCAACATTGCAATTACGCAAAAATAACCTAAAAGATCCTCTATTGCTGTTTGGATCCTAGAGCTAAGCTAAGTTAGAGCATGACTTTTTGGAATTGTAATGTGCTGGTTAAATCCAGTGAAGCCCTGTTAGACCAATATAACTTTTTTTTTCTAAGTGAAAATAATGCGAAAGGCTCATTCAAGTATGAATAAGAAATCAAACTGCACACGATATGTGTAAAACCGCATACGCGCAGCACAGGTTACACAATTACAAAAACAAAAACGAACATGTATGCCTCTAGCCCTCTATGTGTGTATATCCCTTCAAGCTCTTTCCCAACAGCTTGTGCGTCCCTTACTCAGTGCTTTCTTATCACTTTCATGCGATGTTCCATTTTAGCCACGCCACGACACCAAAAAAACAAAGAGTGCACGGATCTTAATCCTATATTTGTTGACACACAATTCTACTATCCTAGCGAACTGATCATAGATTTGAGTTCCTCGTGGTGGAACCTGTCCACCCGGGTTCAAATCCTCACCTGTATGAGAGAGCCTCCAGAGGCATTGTTAGCTTTCGATAAAAGTTAAGCACATTCATGTTTTCACCTATTAATGAAACGGCACGCAACACTCTCCTGCGTGTTCAAGAAAAAAAAAACGTTTTCACATCTGACGGTTGTTTCCCGTTCAGAAAATGATCGAGCGTTTGACATTCTTTACTGCATAACCTTCAAACTGATGGATCAGAAATGGCTTGAAAAGTTGAAATGCACGCCAGTTACATGGATTTCAATGTACGTTCTTTCCTTTCTCATATGCAAATCTTTCGGGCACGTTCTTTGTACCACAAGCACCTCCCTTGCTGACCAAATCGCGGAACTCACGCTGCAGGCTGTACATCATTAAATCTACACGGCGCCAGCTCGAGAGGGAGCTGTTGCTCGAAGACATCCAGAGAATCGAGGATATGCATGCCATCATACAGGTTTCTCACCTGCTAGCAATCGAACTTGGTCATACCAAACATTGCCACAAGATAGTGCAGCTCCATACACTCGAAGTTGCGACGTTGGAACCACGTACACCGAGCGAGCTCAGTATGCTGGGGCGGTCTAGGTTCATGGAACTACCAGTCACACACTTTTCCACTGGCTAGCTTCACCCTCAAATGGATTCGTGTTTTCACGACGTGTGGGGCAGGGGAGTGGAAAAACGAATTTCCTCAGTCCAAAAATAAATACACGTCTCACTCCACGAGGAGTTAATTTTTTTTTGAAGTTTGAGCAAATTTATATAAAAATACACTAATATTTATGATGTATAATAACTAATAAGGGTGTCCTCAACAGCTAGCTATTTGGCTAGCTATTCTGACATAGACAGAGAAAAAATAGAAGAGAGAGTAGTCGTCAGCGACGAACAAATAGTTGATTTATTTCACGTAGTCAAGAATCTGATAAAGGAACATGTGGGTTTAATAATACATAGAAAAGTAAGAATATATAAAGTAGTCTTTGTTTTTGTCTTTCACTTTCACGTAATCTAACTACGTAAGTAGCACCATTACGGACGCCCGTTTCCTTTTATCAAGCGTGAGAGGAGAGTTTCCAGATACAAGACGCTCCCAAAATACGAGCTTCTTATTTACTCTCTCTCTCTCTGATTAACAACGGTAGCCATTTTCTCTCCATTAAATTATAGCAGCGAGTGTATAAAATGGCTATGCACGCAAGCATGCACGCGACGCTTCGTGTTTTGAGAAGGCGCGGTAATGACTATTCCCTTCGATGCTTCAGCCCGCGCCTGGTATTGGCCCCGTTCGGTCTGCTGAAACTTGGCTGAAAGCGGCTGAAAAACACTGTTATGTCTGAAATATTGTGAAGAAAAATACTGTTTTGAATAAAGAAAAAAAAGTCGAACAAGTCAGATATAAGATAAGCCGAACGAAACTATTGTGGCCAAATCAGAAAACGCTTGCACGTCTGGTAAGGGCGTCCCAACAAAGCTTCAAATAGCTAGCAGGTATATATACTACTCCATATAGCTCCTAGATTCCGCGTAACTAGAGCGTTTTGGTTCCTGTTTAGTTACTGTTCACGAATCCTGAGCATCTAGTGGGCTCGTGCGTGTGTGAGCGTCGATTTGGGCTCTACCGATTAATTATGGCTTTGCGCCGGTTACATATCAATGGTGCCAATATGCAAATATGATATGTGATATCATTTTTTTATTTGATGCCCTCTCTCCCAGGCAGGCAGGTCCGCAGGTGGAGCATGGGTGGCAGCGTCCAAAACAATTAAGAGCATGTTCGCTCGTCCGTTTCAGCCGGGGCTTATCAGTCATGATATAGTGTTTTCCTCTCACAATAAACCATACTAGCCGGCTTATCAACCCAGAAACCAACCAGCGAACAGGCTAGAAAACACTGATAATGATGGTTAGGTTGCTCCATACCAATTTGACTTCGATTATCTGATTCAGTAATGAGAATGAGACATTAGTAGTGTTTTTAGAATTTAAGATACTCCTACCATTTTTTTTGCATTAAAGTTTTTTTTATGGTTGGATGCCAATGGTTCATAGAATCACCAGTAATTTTGTTTTCGCTGTTACATTACACGAAATTAATCTACGATTTTGATTCATTACTGTACTACTCTTTTATCTATTTATAATATATATATTTAAGCAGCAGGGAGAAACTCCTACTGATCCCTCAAAAAAAACATTACACGAGTCACTGCCCAGATCAGCTTATCTGCCTCTCTGTGTTCTGACTATGATGAGTGTATGATTCTGATTGTTTTTTAGTGTAAATAATTTTGTGCAAAATTAATTTACATGTACTCTGTCAAACATCTATAGGTAACTATTTCGCTCTACGATTTCTCTGAATTTTGTGTGGAGTAATTATTTGGCTCTACTATGACTTCTCTTTATTTGATTCTGTCATCCTGTGAAACATCTGAATGAGCCCATTTTGTACATTGCTAGAGTGCAGTCAGCACTGCAAATTTACACTTCTCCATCTCTTTTTCCTGTCAGATTGTTTCATGTTCTCCGTTTTACCCTCTGTATGTATGGTTCTCATTGTGTTTTAGCATAAACAATATAGTACACAATTGATCTAGAGGTAATTATTTGGCTCCAGGATTCCTCTATTACATTCACCTTATTTGGTTCCGTGAGACATCTATGAGTGCATTGTGTGAATTGCAATCAGCATTGAAACTTTTCTTTGGTTATCTATTTGTTGAGCAAAAAACTAAAACTGCTCTTTTGCAGAGGTGGACCTCCGTTTTTTCTCATACCTCTGAGTCCTATTTTTCGATGTTCAGCATTAGGATATATGCCATCAGCATGGGCCATAGTTCATGTTTCTGATTACCCATCAAGATTTGACATGCTGTGGACATGGTAGTAATCCTATGTACACAAAGGTAAAATCATTCCTTCTGTGTGGTGCATCTCATAAGTTATGCCCATTTTCAAGTGTTGTTTTACTTAGCTTATTTGAACTAAACGGGTACCACATCGATATAGATCTCCATTATTTCG